AAAGCATAAAGCTGGAAGAGAGTTCCACAAGTACGAAGTGTGATACAAAAAATTGTTAGCATACAACTTACAGTTACATCTAGGCCATTTCAACTAAGAATGTTGAGACCATGCTACAAATCTGTGCTTAAATTTATACAGTCTAGTTATCATAGAAGAATGTTCATCAGTACACTTAGTATGAAAGTATTTATAGAAAAGGCATGAGGAAGCTATATTATAGTGATGAGAACGTAACTGAAGCTGAGATGCCAGATTAACATTGCAGATTCTTCTTTGGATTTTATCAAGAATTTCTAAATATACAGCAGGAGCACCAGACCAGATATAGCAACAATAAGCCTGGATGAATGGCAGACTTATAAAGGTCTAAGATAGATTCTGGCAAGAAAAAATGTCTAGAATGACACAGTGAACAAGCTTTCATAGCATCAGACCTAGCAATTGATTCAATTGTGACACTGTGGCTGTGAGGTGGTTAAACATTAATTCTAAGTAGAAAAAGGGCTATGTCCAAAAGGAAATATAAACTGGAAGACAGAGAGATAAAAAAGAGAAAATGGAAGATAATTTCCCTGATAATGTGGAAGTGAAGAAAGGGATATCTGCATTGCCTCACCGTTACAAGCTGGAATGATGCACTAGGAGTTTACTTTTTTTTATCTATGAAAATATGGCATGCGGGTAAAGCAAATTAGGAAATGGCTTTATCTTTTTCTAGGGAAATTTGAAAAACACCAGTTGTTGATGAAAATATAACCAGACGGGAATTATATTTTCATTAGCAAAAACAAATTGAGAAATGAAAACAGAGAATGAACCTGCTGTGTGGGTTAGAATTATGAAAATTGATCTGTCATAACTGGCAAGTGGTCTGTGTTTTTTCGATGGACAAGTGAGTCCAGGAAAGGAGTCAGAGAATTGAAATTAATGTGGAGAATAAAATACACCCTTTAAAAATTAAATTTGTCACAGAATGTTATGCCAGCCCTGAGAAGTGGGCGGAGTTAGAATATTGAGAAGGAAGGAGGAAGGGGCAGAATTTGGCCCAGCTTGTCTGGAGTAGCAGTGCGAGATGTGAAGTGAAGCAAGTTGGAGTTAAGGGAGAAGCAATCTCTGTGACTACTCTCAAGGAAGGTGGATAATTCTCCAAATTTGGAAGGTTGATTAAGAAAGCAGAAATAGGAAACAAAGAAAACTATTGGAATTAATGAAAATTGGGGAATCACGCCAGTTTTGGGCTGAAGTGCATATAAGCAGATGGCTTTGGGGAGCTCCAAGACTTTGGACTGAGATCATGCATTGAGTGCCTCTGAAATCCACATCAGCTGCCAATGGTGCAGTTTAAAAAAATATTTCTTTAGATATTCAAACATAAACTCGATTCTATTTCATGCTGTGACTTAAGATTTTGGTATATTCCACATATAAAAAAGACTTCTATTTGACTCAAATTCCATGACTTTGCTGTCATTAGTTTTATAATTACTAGAATTCACAGTATTTAGTATAGTTGAAGTTACTGCTAACATTTTTTGTCAAGATAACTATATAAGCATTTGTTATTTTAATCATTAAATTGTTTTTAAAATAGAGTATCTTGTATGTTCAATAATAAAACTTTTAATTTTTCCAAAAGAATTAATGAAAATTTATTGTACTAAGTTATGCACCCTAATAAAACCAACTGTACTTTGTATCACTATACCTGTTTGCACTTCTTCCCAAAATTTGGTTTCGATGGGTCAATGTATGGCTATTTTAGAGGATGTGATGGATTGACTAACAGAGGTCACTGAATTTTATATATAGATTGTACTTTTTTTATTTGCATATGATATTGGAATGCACTGTAATACCATGATTGTCCAGTAATTTTAAATCCTGAGGATCTAGTTTGATTGAGCTGTAAAAAGTGTTTCATGTTTATATTACATTTATATTTGAAATTTTTGATAGGTGCACAAAGAAGCCATATCAGATGGAAAAACTAGAACTGTCTCAGAGCATGAGTACATTTCTCAATTGACATATGCAATACCAGGCTAGAAGTCAACCTATATCAGTGTTTCTCAACCCTTTTTTACTTCAGGGTGCACTTTAAATTTCAATAAGGAAATATTATTCATGAAATTTGAAAATAGAAAAATAATAAAGATATCTCCTGACATAAGCATTTATTTTCAAGACATTACATTAAGCGCTACATCTTTCATTTAACCCTGTATAGACACCATAGATTTCTGAAAATGAGTTGTCTCTTGTTGCTTATAGTATTACAATTATGTAAAGTATTGTTGTACTGCTGAAAAAAAATAACAAAACAGTCTCCATGGCAATATACATTAAGTCAGAACTTGGACTGCAGATATAATTATTCATTGAAATGAAAATTACAAATTTGTTGCATAAACATGTATTATAAATTGTAGGTGAAACATCAATATAATAACAGAGAAAAAGTTTTATTCATCAAAAATAGCCATAATATATTTCTATGAAATGAAACGGAAAGAAAATTCAATGTAAACTCATTAAATAGTGATTACCACTGGTTGCTACATTCTTGCAAATTTGTGCAACTCATGAAAATTTACCTTTGTTAGTCAGGTGGAGCTACAACTGCACTGCACCACAGGCTACACACCCTCATTAAGTCAGGAAATTAATAGAAGAGAGAACAAAAGAAACAAGTTGCCAACTAGGAATTATGAGTACTTTAAAAAAATTGGTGTAACAAAACATTTTTTTTTTTTTAGAAAGAATGATAATGACTGATTTAAATCCCTTAAGGAAAGCAAAAGAAAAATAATTATCCACTCCTTAAAGATTAAGGAATTTAGCATCCAATTTAAAATAACAAATGACTAAGACGTGACTTAGACATGGAATTCATGTGTTTTGTGTCTCTAGCTTTTCAAAATTGAACATTTTTTTTAAATATAAAAATAATTCATAAATTACTCTTCTGTCAACTTGGGGTGTCCCTGGTTACCTTTCAGGGTGCATTAGTGTCCCTAGGCGCACTGGTTGAGAAACAGTGATCTATATAAACAGTATAGAAACTGACTTAAAATTTCTAATTTGAAGCTGGAGTAAGAGTTTAGTGTCCACCTCATGATTGTCACTGTTACTTGAAGGTTTCTGGATGGTATTTAACAAGTCCTGCTCTTCTTTGTGCTTCATGTCTACTGGCTGAAAACCTCTGAACAGTCAGTGAGAAAGGTACAATTGCTTCTCTAACCCTGTCATTTACAAAATGTCTTGTTTTTTAACTACTGTTTTTATTTTTTTAATTATTTGGGAGGGTTTTATTTTTTTCTTTTAACTAATTGACCACCCGATAGAAGGCCCAGAGGTTACTAAAGTTAGAGGGTTACTGAATGAGGTTATTGTCAGAATGTAAGAGGAGGAGGTAAGAAGTTCAGATTATAAGTATATATAGGAAAGATAACAGTTGACTTTAGGCTTGAAAAGGTTAACATTGTAGTGATTGAGGAAGCATTCCCTTGGGAGTCTTTTCATCAAAGTAGCAGTTCTTGAGAAGAAGTTTTCTGAATAAGCTTAAATTCTTATTAATGGAATATGGAGGGAATAGGGATAATTTATCCTAGTGGCTTGGCAGCTGTGAAGGTCATAACTGATGGAACTAATGAATATCACTCATCAGAACATTACCATGGAAATAGCAAGAAGCTCACAACTTTTCATATGTACGAAGAGAGTTGTTCATCTGTGTTTGCAAACAGTAACCTTGAATTGCATGGATATTTCAACCAAAGCCTTTATCAACTGACCTCTGCGGATCTTCAAATCACAATATGGGTAAAGGTTGAAAAAGAAGTGACTGAGTGACTTGGTAGTGTATGGTTACTATTATCAACCCTGATAGAGACTATTTGTACAAATATCTACTGTATTTCTTGGGATTGAGAATATACCCCAACATTGAATTGCAAAATTTTGAAGAAAAAAAAAAAATGAAGTAAAATAATGTAACCATACGATGCAGGGTAAATTTTTGAAACTTGAGAAAATATAGTGTTTGTCACTAGGAAAGGCAGTAAGTATGCATTAAAACTAAAGATTGGATTTCTTTTTTTTTTTCTTTTAGTATACTTTTTTTTTTTTTTTTTTTTTTTTACTTAGAGCATCACAAGAAGATACTTTTGGTTTTTCTTTATAATGTATCAATAATCTAAAAAAAGAAAAAAAAATCAAATTTTTTGTGTTTTTTTTTAAATAACTTAAAGACATTATTTTTGCTAAATATTCTTTTTATTTATCTTTATTTTGATAATCATTTCACTCCAAACAAAGCAGAAATGCCACTAGTAAGGAAGAGGGGTACTGGGAATGAAAATGAGAAAAATGACTGAATATTAGGAAGATTGAAGAAAGGACAAAAGATGAATAGGAATCAAGAAGATAGAAGATTCTAGTTATCAGGGATGCAAGTAAATGGAAGGGAGTTCCACAGGTGGGAAGTATGAGAAAACAAACTATTGGAGTAGAATTGGTGGTTGCTTTTTTTTTGCCAATCTAGTAGCACGCTTAATTCAGGTGTTTTTATATTCAAAGAAATATAAAGAAAATCAAAGTAAGTCTTTGAATCCTTGTTCTTTGGCTTAGTGTGTCTGTTCTATAATATTAGCCCAAGGACATTTGCTATGATTCAATTCCAGGTTAAAATAAAATTATTCAGTCATAACATCAAGAGATTGAGATTCACTATTTTCCTACTTGTTAACTAATTCTATTGCTTCTACTAATATGATTATATGCACTTTTGTTCATGCTGTCATGATATAAGATAACATAATCTCATGTAATTATTGAATTTATTCTTAATTTTCTTAAAATTTTTTCCTCCCAAATAAACTCAAATTTCCTTACATGTTTTCTGAAATGAACTCCAAAGCTGATATTTTTTACATCTATCAGCATTTTTATTACATTTTTTTTTAATTTTCTCTTATACGATTTTTGAATTTTTTAAGCTCTATTTCTATCTGTTCAATTTGCTACCCATCTTCTCAAATTTTTATCTTTATGTATTATCCTCTTTGTCTCTTCCTTTTGCCTCTCTTCTTCTTTTCCTCAAACTTATTTCTCTTTCATTGCTCCACCTATGTCTTGTTTGTTTTCTTTTTTTCTCTTTTTCTCTCTCTACTAAACACTTTCCATTCTGTCTCCTTTACTCTCTTTTATTGATTTCTATTTTTCTTCCTTTCCTTCTTATTGTGGCTATTTTCCTCATTATTTCTTCTTCTTCTTCTCTACTTCTTTCTTAATGTTCCTTCTTTCTCTATGTTCTTATCCACTTGCATTTATCCTTATCTCATTCATGCTTGGTTTCCCAGTCTGACTATCTCTAATTCTACTCCTTTTGTTATATTTATCTATGGTTCTTTTACTGCTAACTGATCATTTCTTGGCTCTGATTGGTCCATACTAGTTATTGACTATTGGATTTTATTGTTGCTCTTTATCCACTGCTGGGAATGATGGAATGTTAAGGACATATCTCTGACAAGAGAGGTGGCCTTGTGTCATTGTTTAACAATATTACTTCAGCAGTTCATAGGCAAGATGCCAAGTTTAAAAAAAAAGTCAAACTTCTGCAAGAAAAACATAAGTAAAAAAAATGTAACATCTTGTAAGTAAATCTTTAAAAAGTTCTTATTAGAAAGAAGATAAGACATTTTGTGAAATCCAGCATGAAAAATATGAGTTTACCTTCCTCAAACTAATAGTTTCTTTCTTGAATATGATTCTATCTTTTTGCCTTTCTTGGAATATTTATTATAATCTTTTAACCCTCAAAACTTTTCTGTCAAAATTGTTAGTTATTTTACTTATATTACTATAGATTATTTACTGGTACTAATATCCATATCTTTATTGATAGCAGTAACGCTAAACATTATTTCTCTTTTCAATATTGTGCTTTTACTTACATTTATGCAATTTATATCTAGTGCACATTCTTTATAATAATAGTTACCAAAGTGAATTGCTTTGGGAGCTGTACAGAGCAAAGATAGTTGTTAAAGGTTGGGAAGATATCAGACAAAAGTAGTTTGTGTATATAAAGTGAAGTGCCAAAAAATTAGAGACAACAATGCATGGGATAGTTTTGCTCACCTCAACTTGCAAAATTGGACTCAATTAGATGATGTTTGATGTAATAGGTAAAAAGGTAGTGTAACTGTGGCGATCATAGAACCTGAACAGGAGTTAAAACTGTTTGATTGTAGAATGAATGTTGAAACTAAAACATTATCTCTGAAGTAGCAATTACTTTTGGTTTTTCTTGTGCAATAGTAACAAAGATATACCTGGAATATATGATATTGGTGGTGTCTGAAAACTCTGGGTAATCGCTCACTAAAAGTGATTATAAAGATGGTAATCATCCTTTGAAAGGGAATTTTGGATTAACTCACATTTGTATTTAACATTGGTGCTGCTCAACCCATCAGTCAACACCCTGTACAGTGAGCACTACATTTGATCAACAAGGCACTGTTATTGACAATATGGCTTTGGTTCTGATACCATATCTGAGCTTAAGAACATTGTCATGTGACCATGCAAGACTTTGTCATCTGCTCTTTTTATGTAAACTGTTCTTGCAGAATATTTGCACTTTACACTTGTGATGTTTCTCAGTATTGAAGGTTTGTTCTAGCAAGAAAAACACACCTTGTCCATCATGTGTGGATGATATGAACCTGGTTTCAGGAGCACTTGGCTGACTTCCAGGTGTGCTATTGACTGTCAAACTCACCAGATTTAAACCCCGTTGAGTATGTAGAGGAGATGTTTCTGATCTCATTAAATTTAACTGTAGCCACATTCAATAAAGGCAACTCAGTTATATGCCTATATAGATATATCTATCTGATAGATTTGATGCCATGTTATGTTGTCAGCATTATTTATTGCCTTGCTTGGGGTGAAATGATTAAAGAAAAAATCTAAAACACTGTTGTTGCAGAACATTTACACCTGTTTACACTTGAAAAGTTTCTCATTATTGATGGTTTGTTCCAGCGAGATAAAACACACCTTGCCCATCATGTGTGGGTGATATGTATCTAGTTTCAGGAACACTTGGCAGACTTCTAGGTACTCCATTGACTGCCAAACTCAGCAGATTTAAACCCCATTGAGCATGTAGAGAAAATTACTCATTAAATATACTTGTAGCTACATCCAATAAAGACAACTCCTTCATGGACAGCTCTGGAACATTCCTATATAGATATATCTATCTGATAGACTCTATGCCATGTTATGCAGCCAGTATAATTCAGGTAAAGGAGAAGTTTCATATTAGGAGTAGATAAGTTTGCCTATTGTTTAGTTCACACTCCTCTCTGATCATTTACACAGGAATAGATGTTCATCCCTTTTTTTTCCTGTTTAGGATTGGGTTTCAAGTCCATTTCTAAAATCTACTTCAACTCTACTCTCCTAATGTCTCTGCCTATTGTCCGGTTCACACTCCTCTCTGATCTTTTCCTGTTTAGGATTGGGTTTCAAGTCCATTTCTAAAATCTACTTCAACTCTACTCTCCTAATGTCTCTGCCTATTGTCCGGTTCACACTCCTCTCTGATCTTTTCCTGTTTAGGATTGGGTTTCAAGTCCATTTCTAAAATCTACTTCAACTCTACTCTTAATATCTCTGTTTAGTTCACACTCCTCTCTGATCTTTTCCTGTTTAGGATTGGGTTTCAAGTCCATTTCTAAAATCTACTTCAACTCTACTCTCCTAATGTCTCTGCCTATTGTCCGGTTCACACTCCTCTCTGATCTTTTCCTGTTTAGGATTGGGTTTCAAGTCCATTTCTAAAAATCTAACTCTACTCTCCTAATGTCTCTGCTATTGTCCGGTTCACACTCCTCTCTGATCTTTTCTGTTTGAAATTTTCAAGTCCATTTCTAAAATCTACTTCAACTCTACTCTCCCTAATGTCTCTGCCTATTGTCCGTTCACACTCCTCTAGATCTTTTCCTGTTTGGGATTGGGTTTCAAGTCCATTTCTAAAATCTACTTCAACTGTTCTTAATGTCTCTGCCTGCCCCCTTTCTTTTCCTGTTTAGGATTGGGTTTCAAGTCCATTTCTAAAACTTCAATCTCCATGTCTCTGCCACAGTTCAACTCCTCTCTGATCTTTTCCTGTTTAGGATTGGGTTTCAAGTCCATTTCTAAAATCTACTTCAACTCTACTCTCCTAATGTCTCGACCTGAACTCTGAAATTTTATTTGCTAATTAAATCTTGATCTCTTCAAGTCTAGAATTAGCTGGGAATCCTTCCTGTTTTTTTGCCCTTTCTTATGCTAATAAAATTCCACACAGTAATCCTCTACCTTGAGTGGCCCTCAGCCTTGTGTTGGCTGAAAGATAATTGCCCATAGTGTTTTGGTACTTTGATATACTTTAACATATGTAACATAATTATGAAAAAAAAAAGCATTTTTTCTTAAGGAACCATCACATTTTAAGGTCATATCTTTGAATCAAAATAAACTATAAACTTATAACTGCTAGAGATGCAATATATTGAGGTGAATTTTGTTATTTTTTGTAGTGGTTTATGCTCATTTTTTTATCATCATATAATAATTCTGTTTGTCCCTCATTTCAATAGTTCCTTAGTTAGTTTGAACGACCATTATGCCCTGCCAATATAAATAATGGACTATTTCATTTTGACCATGTGAAAAGACAGAAATGATATATCAGAGATGCTACTTGGTTTCAGTGAGAAAATGAAAGAAAGAAAGATGGAAGTGTTTAACGTCTCCTGCCAATACCTCATAGATAATGGACTATTCCATTTTGAGTGTGTGAAAACATGGAAATGACATATCAGAGACGCTACTTGGTTTCAGTGAGAAAATGAAAGAAAGACGGGAAAGAAGATAGGCGTGTTTAATGTCTGTTTCCTTGAAATGGAAAAAGTTGTCAATTTCAAATCTTTTCATTTGTACCCCCTTACTTAAAATAATGACCAACTTTTTTATTTATGATTGTTATTGCAAAATTTTGTTAATGTTAAAGCTCAAATTTCTATAGATATTTTATTGTTGTAGAACTTGCTATTAACTTATTTAATTTTAATTGGAGAATTAAGATTCATCAGAAAATTCAAATAGAAAAATCATGACATTTTCACATGTCTTTCTAGTATTTGTAATTACATTTTAGAGTTTAGAGTTGATCTAAGGTTCAATGGTTGTAGTGACTTGCTAAAGTATTTGAATATTTCACTTATTTGGTGTTAATACTAATACTTATGGAAATTAATATTAGCTTTACAGTCAAAATTTTCT